ACTTCTGTCCCTGGAGCTAAACCTGGCAGGGATCGGGACCTGTGTCTCAGGCTCTGGTGGGGTGCCCACCCCACCCCAAGGTGGGAGAGAAAGCGACTTCTGGTTGTTGCCATTGCTGTGTCCACGCCTTCCTGCACCCTTTCACTCACTCTCGGCTCACTTCTGTGACTTGATGGCCCCTTAGCTTGCCGACCCCAGCTTGATGATGGGACCGCCCTCTCGTGCCCCTCTGTAGTATCTTTGGGTGCAGGCACCTCTCCCCACAGAAGGAGGCCAGGGGTGGGAGCAGATGGCATGTGAAGCCACCTCCCTGATGTGCTGGGGCCGGTTGCCATGGGGAGAGACAGAGCAGATGGCCAGGCTGGGGAGGCCCTGACCACACCCGCATCCCTGCCTCCCGGGCTGTCAGCCTGAGCTGGGCAGCCACTGGCAGCCAAGCTTTCTCTCTGGTGACAGGCACTTCTGCCTTTGCCTCCTCCCATCCCAGTCTCTAGCCAGGACTGGTCCCTCCTCTTCTCCTCCCCTGCCTCTGCCCTCAAGCCGTTCTGCAGGCCTGGGATTGATGTGGGGTTCCCCTGCCCTGCACTGCCCTGGGTAAGAGATGGGTAAAGGGCAGTGGGCCCCACCCTTCCCTCACAAGGAGGGAGACTGCCAGCTCCTCCAGGCTGGCTGCTAAGGGTGCCCTCTGCTGGGAGGGGATGACCTCTGCTAGGAGAAGAGTGGCCCTTAGAAGGTGGAGACGTGAAAAAGCCTCTTAAGGTGGGGCAGCACCTGGATGTGGGGCAAGTGCCACTGGGAGCCCCACTCCAGCCATGCCCTACCCACCAAGCCTTGGGCTGCCATGTCAGATACCCCCCTCTGAAGCCAGAGCACGCCTCCCTGCAGATGCCTCTCTGCTTTAATTTTCAAATGAAAGAAGCAATTAAAGTAATTTAAGGAGTTGTATAAACTACTTCTCCAAGAAGTAGTTGGGGGTGGGTTGCAGGGGAGAGCCTGGGTTCTAGCAGGCAGGGGACTGGGCCCTAATTCCAGCCCAGCACCCGCACCTCTGTTTGGTCCTGAGGACAGTTCTAGGGGAGGGGTACTGGAGGAGGTGACAGCTGGACCAAGGACTGCATTCTGCCCAGGAAGGGCTGGAGTGAGGTGTGGGAGGGTATCTGACACTAGGTTATAAGACAGACCTGAGCCCACTGTAATGGACAGACAGACACTGCTTTGTGGTATCTTAGGGAGCATGGATCTGGCAGATAGTGTTCCCCCTCATTCTGGATCACTGCTTTGCTTTCCTGGGAGACATCTGAGTAGCTGGCCAAGGGGCTTGCAGGGAGATCTGAGGCCTGGCAGGGCCCTGCCCTCTCCGAGTCTCTGCGTCCTGTGGTTCCATCCTGGACTCCCAGTGGCAGTGAGACCAGCTGAGCTGATATCGGGTGTGTGGGGTCCCGCACCTTTGCATGCCCCTCCCCCTCAGGGCTCTGAGTAGCCAACACGTGTGACCAGTCCAGCGGGAAGACAGCCACTCCTGGGCCCTCCAGATACATCCATAGTCTCTTCCTGCCTCTGGGGCTGGCAGCACTCACCTCCGGCCTCAGGAAATCCTCTCCTGCCGCCCCTCCCAACGCGGCCATCAGCTGACCCCCAGCTCCCATGCCGCTGGGAGAGCCCAGGCTTCTGAAGGGAAAGGCGCTGTAGGCCTCAGACGGGCAAGCCTCCTGAAGCCTGGCATTTCCTGGCATCGTTTTGGTCCCCATAAGCAGCCATGTTGGGAGCTGCACTGTCTTCCATTGGAGAGGACGTGGCCAAGGATGTGGTCCTTGGAGCTGGGCACTGAGGTCACTCCCACTTATTGCCTATTTTGTTGTTATAAATGCTGTAAGAGACATTGCAGGGTCTACAGCAATAGATAATGTTTCTTTTTATTCAGTGACTCTGTACTGAGAGCTAAGACCCTTGAAAAACCAGAGGCCTTGAGCCAACCTGAACTTTCTCCCCATTTAGGGCCCGCTCTAAGCAGCAGATCCTCCCTTCAGTGGTCATTTCATGAACACACATTCATTGTACACGGGACCACCATGTTCCCTGCACAAACAGCTGCTCCACACCCTGGGGGATTGGGGACATCCATTTCCAGGAGGTACCAGGTGACGCTTGCGGACCAGCTGGGAGGAAATTTGCTCTGGGCAGTGCTCCTGTGCCCTCCTACCACCAGCAGTGCTCTCTCCAGATCCTCCCCTGCTTGGCCTCCCTCCTGCCACCTGGACCTTTCCAGTCACCTCTGTGTGTGTGTGTGTGTGTGTACCTCTCTAGATGTATGTGCTGTGTGTGCATGTGCGGATGTATGTGCCTGTGAGGGTCTGCGTGCACGTGGGAGTGTGTGCTTGTCTGTGCATGTGTGAGTGTGCATGTACAGATGTAAATGTGTGTGTGCATACATGTGTGTACGTGCATGTGCATGCTTGTTGCAAGATCCATGAGTACAGCAGTGCACACTGAACTGACCCACTCACCCCAGCCCCCAAACAGGCATGGCCTCTGCTTGGTCCCACTGGCCTGTACTTCCCAGCAGGGTCACCTCTGTGGACCCACCCAGTCAGCCAGTGCTTCTGCACCTCCAGGCCCAGGAGGCCTGCCTTTCAAAGGGGCATGGTGCTAGGCTCTTTCAAGCCCCTCCCCCCCTTCTGGGCCTGGTTTTGTTTGGAGATGTGACTGGGTGTCAAATGTCTGCCCTTTTAGGCTCTTGATGGGGCGTTTGCCCTCAGCCTGGTGTTCCCCTGCCCTGATTCCCTTCTGAATATACTACATAGGTATAGATGTATATAGAAGTCAGAGGTGGTCCTTAGCCTGTAAGATATACTGCCCCTTCTTTCTGGCTGCCAGTTCTGTCCTTTCTGTGACGGGGTAGGGAGAAGGGTCAGTACACTGGGCATTAACTTTTTCATTTGTAAAATGAAACTAATTGTGGAGCCTGCCTGGCAGGACTGCTATGGGCATGAAATGGGCACAAAATGGGTAGTAGGCCCTTGACACGGAGCTGAGTACAGTCAGTGCAGTAGAGGGCACGACCAGGTGCTATCCTTGACAGAAGATCCCAGGTACCAGATAGGAAGGAGTTGAGAGGTGCAATGGGGAGGTTCTGCTCCCCCAAAAACCTTCCTGTTGAGTGCCCCTCCCCCATCCTCTGACCTAGGAAGCATTCCTCTGCCCCCCCAGCCCCCCCCCACATAGTGGGGCGCAGACCCTGGGGCCTTGTTTCCCAAGCGGAAATGCCATTCTAGGAGGCATGGCTTGGGGGGGGGGGCACTGTTTAAGTGGAAATGGAGCAGATTTTTGAGATGCCTTTGCCTGAGCCTGGCTCCCCTCCCCCGCCTGCCTGCCTGCCGGCTCAGGAAATCAGTCCCACCCCCAGGGCTGCTTTAATCCCACCGCAGAGATGAAGAGGGTCTCCCTTTTCTCAGATCTGATCCTATCTGGCCAGCTCTCTGCACCCCTGTGCTGTGGCTAGTGAGGTTGGGGTGAGCCCTCTTGAAGTCTACCCGGTAGACACAAAGGGAGCTGGACTGGGCCAGAGAGGAGTCCCTCCTACCCCCACCAGACAGCCCCCAGTTTGGGGTCCAGCTAGCTGAGGAGTCAGTGCTAGCCCTTGGTGTCTACCTGGTATGGGGGCACAGCTTTGGGAGACCAGCAGAAAGGGATACCCCACGGAGTGTGGACCACAGGGCTGGCCCTGCACGGGGTCCTCCTTTCTTAGATAACAGGATCACATTGTCTATGTCTGCTGGACCTGGTCACTCAGTCCTTGCTGTCAGCTTTATTACAGGGTTTGTCTAGGAAATAGAGATGTTCAGGGTCGCCATCCTGTTGTCCTGGAGAGAAAGGGGCCCAAGAATCTGGTTTGTAACGAGTCCTTCAGGGGCTGTGACCAGTCAGGCGTGGGCAGCCTCAGTCCAGTGTGTCTTTTCCCCAGAGAAAGCTGAGTTAGCACACCTGAACAAGGGCTGAGTCTGCAAGCCAAGGTGTTGGGAGTGGAGCTGTGGGACCACCTCGGACTTGTGTACTTTGTAGGCCATGCCTGAGGGTTCTTTTGGTCTGCCAGCTGGTGTCCCCACCTCTGTGAGTGGCCATGTCAGATACTCCAGGGATCCCAGAGACTGTACCTAGGCATGGAACTGTTGGTCTTTGAAGCAAGTTCCTTTTCGATCTCCTTGCACACATTTCTGGGAGGCCATTTGATTCGGAGGACAAGGTGGAGAGTGGTGTTCTTGGCTTGACTGGGGCTCTGCAGAGTGGGCCACAGTGCAGAGCTGCGCTGGCCAAGCCGCCGACCTCCCGTGAGCCTTCCACAGGGTGGAGCTGATCAGTCAGTAGTGGTCTTTATTAGTTTTCTGCAGACTTAGGTGCGCTCCCCCTCACTGTATGCTGTACATACATGCTGAGTCGGACTACTTTGGCAAGGGTTCAAAAAGGTGTCCTGCACTTCAGGGGCAGAGGGCAATCCAGGCCGTCTTCCCAGAAGAGGAGGCATTTGCCCAGGCCTTGGAGGAGCACGCTCCGGTGGGCGATGGAGGGCGGGACGCACTCTGAGGCGCGTGGGGGACCGCGAGGAGGGCGGGCACACCTTGGTGGAGGACAGGACTGCCGGCTGGGCCGGGCGTGCGAGCCGGTGGGAGCCGAGGCCTGCCTCCTGGGGGACAGTCCCACTGGGTCAGCGCGTGTCCTCGCGCCTGCGCTCGCCCGCGCCTCGCTCGGGGGCTCATTTGCATGAGGAGCCGCAGCAGCCAATGGGCGCGCAGCCGGGCATGCCGGGAGCCCATGGCGGGCGGAGCGAGGTGAGACCCCGCTGGGCAGCGGTGGCAGCGCCAGTGTCTGGTGTGTCGGCTGAGGCAGCATCAGGGACGGGGTCTCCTGTCTCAGAATCGGCCGGACTCCGAGCCCCAAGGACAAACGGCACCGGCAGCTGGGCGTGCGGCCCTTTGGGGAGCGGGGCCCCCAGCCGGCAGGACACGATGAACTACCTGGTGAGCGAGCAGACGCCCCCCCTGTGCCCCGGGGGAAGGGGGCAGGATCTGCCTGCTGGAGTCCCAGATCACAGTCCGTGTTCTCGGCTTTCCAGAGACCAAACCGCCGGCGCCTGGCCGGTCCGGGTGGGAAGGGGTTAAACGAGTGTCATTTCCTGCCGGACTTGTGGGTCCTGGGAACCGCCAGGCACTGGAAGCTGCGGAGGTGGGCTGGGATCTGAGGTCCTGGGACCCCGCCCCCGTTGACCAGGGTGTCCGCGGGCCAGGACCTGGCGAAGCCGGGACCCCGCGCCTTGCGGCTGAGTTAGCGGGCTGGGCGCGGGGCCGTGGGCCGGCAGGAAAGTTCCTGGATCCGGGAAAGTTCCTGGCGAGAGGCCCGGTCTCCCCCTGCCGGCTGCCGGGCCGGGTGACCTTGGGCCTGCGCACCCTGCCGCCTGGCCTCAGTTTCCTCTGCCACGAGAGAGGAGGCAGGGGTCCCTGAGGTCCTGACCATCCTAGACATGGTGGTCCGACTGTCCATCCATCAGTCTGTTCAGGGGTGGGTGAGGGGCAGAGTTGGGGGCCGGCGTTGCGGCCACTGCACCCTCCCTGCCGGTTAATGATTCACTCCCTCTGGGCTGCTTGTTCTGGATTCTAGGAGCGGGGCGGGAGCTGGCTTTACCTGCTGTGGATGTAAAACCATGGTGGAAGGGCCCCAGGACCTGGCTTCTGTAATGTTGACTTGGGGGCTTTTGGGTCCACAGTTAGGGGATCGCTGGGACCTGCAGCCAGCTAAGTTCATTTTTCTTCTGCAGCCCAGGGTACAGGGACTTGTGAGGGGCTCCGGAAAGCTGAGATTTTCTAAGATCTGGGAGTGGGTGGGTGAGGAGCTGAGACGGGACCTTATTCAGGGTTGGGGTCTTGATTCCCACACAGAGGTCACTGGCCTCTTTAAGGGATGTCTGAGCACTTGAGGTCTTGCCTTCCCTCCAAGGAGAAAAAGTGAGAACTGGGAGATAGCCCCAGGCTCTGGCTCTGGCCACCTTCATAGAATGACGGGTCTGTTTCTTCTCCGTCTGGTGGATAGGTGCCCCAAGAGATGAGCTGCTCTCCTGGAGTGGACCACGCCCCTTTTTCCTTTTCCTCTAGAGAGCTGGGAGGTGGAGTGCTTAGGGACACTCAGTTCCTACCCCCAGGGCAAGCCTAGAAGAGCAGGTGTGGGATTCCCAGGAGGCCCTGGCCCAGGTAGAGCCTGCAGGGAAAAGAATCCCTGCGGACAAGCTGTTGGCACAATCTCCTGGCACTGCCACCCGCCACCACTCAGCCTGGTAGAGGAGGGAGCCCAGGAGGAGCTGATGCCAGTCCAGTTAGCCCCAGTTTCTCCAGGAGTCACCACAGGGCTGTGGGTGGGAGGAGCGGATGCTCTGGTCACTGCTGTTTGTACTGAGCAGCAGTCCAGTACTATCTCGTTCAAGGTGGAAGCATGGGCAATGCCACCAGGGCATCCTGAGCCCTGGAGCAACAGGACCAGTCTTTGCCGAACCAGGTCTGGAGCCCAGTGTTGTGGCGCAGCCCCTTGTGCTGCCCCAGTGCCTGGGTCAGGAGCTCAGATCCTAGGGGGAGGCTGTGCTGCAGGGGGGCTGGGAACTGTAGGGTTCATCAGATTCCACATGCGAGTGCGCATACAGTATCCACTGTCCTTTAAGGAAATCCTGCCCCTTGAAGCATCCTCTGCAGACCCTACTCCTCTGCACAAGCATACAGGATATCTAGACCACCAGGACCAGGCCAGGTACACCTCTGGGTATTTAGGGCCCAAGTGAGGGGCTGCAGAGTTGTCTGTCTTGGAGAAGTGTGGCTCTGCTCCTGGTTGCCCCTGTTTCTGGCCCGCTGAGCCCCGAAGAGGAACCTAACATCACTTTTGTGTTCCTGCTCTCTTGCCCTCCCACGAATAGGTTGAAGGGTCCTGGCCTAGGATGAGAGGATTGTAGAGGACAGGATCCCAACATCTCTAATCCTCTCCCCAAAGTAAGGAGTTCAGTACTTTATTTGAACCCGAGGGCCTACTTTTTTGTGACACCGTATCACCACCCCACTCCCCTCAGCAGGCGCTACAGCTTCAAGGTGTCTTTTAGAACAGGTATTGATGGTGAAACCAAAGCCCTTCAAGGAGGGATTCCCTGTGGACTGACCTCCTGCCCCTGATGAGGACTGAGTTGGGTGCATTGGAGGAGGAACATCTATTCTAGGAGGTGCTGTCCCTGAAATAATGGGTCTGTCTCGTGATGAGCCTTCTGCCCAGAGGCCAGATGACCAGGTGATTCTGAGTCAGTCAACTCAGGAGGGCACCTTGTAGTCCTGACACTGGACCCATCTCGGTCCTAGAGGCCATGGTGAGGCCAGAGAAGAGCGGAAAGGCAGAGACCCCTCACTCACCTCACGAATTCCTTGGTACTGTGACTTGTGTCCCACCTGCCCCAACCTGTCCTGACTCCATATCCTGCAGGAGGGCCCTCCTGCCTGCCCCTGCCCCCCTCTTCAGGCCACCTCTTCTCTTCCCAGCCTTCTGAGGACAGAGCTTGGATGCTTATAGGGTTGGGGGTGGGGACATGCTTCTGGTCCCAAGAGCTGGCCCTGAACACAAAGGCATCTCCTATTGCCACTGCAGCCAAGGCCAGACCACGCCTGTGCTACGGTGGGGGTGCCTGGCAGTGACCACCCACAGGTGGCTTTTGACTGCTCGCTCAGCAGGACTTTCCTCTGGTATGGGAAGTTGGCAGGGGGCTCAGGCCCACATGATGCCTTTGTCTCTCTTCTGACCTCCTGGGCACTCCTGAGCCAGGTAGAGCAGGGAGGATCCTGGGCAGCCCTGAGGTCCTGCCAGCCCAGCAGCATCTGTATAAGCCCGTGTCTGGACCCCTCTGTTGTCCTTAGGAAGGTGGAGTTTCTAAGGAGTGTCTCTGTGACGGGCTGGTCCTGGGTCAGGCCCAGAGTGGGCAAGTGTTCGGTGTCTGGGGAGAGAGATTATCCCTCATAGCCCTTCTGGAAGCAGGAGGGTGGAACAGGCAGGATCTTAGTCCACTCTGGCCGAGTGGCAAGTGACAGGTTACAGTTCAGAATCAAGAATGGCTCAGGATACAGTTGTTTGTGCTGGAAGCTTTTCAGCTGTGCCCACTGACCTCTCCCTGGCCCTCGGCCTCTTAGCTGCACCAGTAGGTGCCCCAGGTGGTCTCACTCCACCAGCATGCCTCCTTCCTGACAACACTCAGCTTTTTCGCCCTACAGACCCGGAGGCTGGTGCCCTGGTTCTGCCTGCCTTGCTCTCGTCTCGTCATCTTGCATCCTCTCTTGGATCTAACAGCCTCTCGGCACAGGGCTCCCTAGGTGTAAAAGAAAGACATGCTCCCGATTCTGTGGGTGGCAGTGAGGCTCCCCCTTTCCATCTCTGGGATGGCTTCTATTAAGGCAAAATAGGCCGATCCCCTTGTTTTGGTTTCATGCACCTGGTTTGCATGGTCCCACCCATACAGGGGTGCCATGTACTTTATTTGCATTATCCACAAGCTGTCTGATCCCCCCAGTTAGCCACAATCACCTTATTTGTGTTGTTCCACCCAATATTAGGTGGAAGTTGCAAAATCACAGGGAACAGCCATATAAAAGCGATCCGTCCCGCCACAGGCCCGGACTGTGAGCTGGCACGCTTGTTGCATCTCCGTCCACTCACTGCTGGGGGCTCTTTGGGACAAGCAAACAAAATAATCCCAGAAATAAATTTGGCCCATGTTGAGATGGTTCTGGGCATAAAGGGAGCCAGTGTTTGCTGAGCGGCTGCTGGGTGTGTGTGGTTTTGTATTTTTGGTTCTGTGCTCAGGCTAGGAGTGTGTGTGGATGTGAGTGGCTACGTATAGGGTACATGTATGTATGGGTGCGTGGGTGTGACTCTGTGTGTGTGTGTGTGTGTGTGTGTGTGTGTGTGTGTGTGTGTTGGAGTGGGGACCAGAGGGGTGCAGAAAGTCTGTGAAACGTCACCTCCTGACTCCCATGAGCCTGCACGTCGGCCCAGGGTTCCCCGGCTCCACTTCGTTACATGGCACCAGCTCTGCTTCTGCTCCTTCCTGGGCTCTGGGCTCTGGGCGAGGGACCTGTGCTGAGCCTCAGTTTCTCCAACTGTAAGGTGGACATGTTCATAGTGTCTGCTGGGTTGGGTGGGAGAGTCTGGGTGCTGTGACTCGATTACTCAAGTCGCTGCTGCCCATCTCCAGGCCGGGATTCCAAGTTCCCACCTTGAGAAGATGTTGGCCAGGTGGATGCCTGGCCGGGGGATCCTTGAAATGTCTGTGATATCTCCCAGGTTGGCCTGGGCGAGCGCTGAGTGGGCCTGCGGGTGCTTAGAGGCCTGGGGGTGCTTACCATGAGGGCACCCAGAGATGGCTCCTTGGCGAGGAGGCCTCGTGCCTCTCCTCACTGGAGAAGAACCCCTGGAGCCAGAGTTTGGGGATACCAGTGCTTCTCCAGGGGTCCAGGGCTCTCCTGCAGCTGGCAGGCGCGGCAGAGGCCTGAATACCCCTCAGACAGCTGGGGCTCCCCCCAGACACGTGCCTGCCTGTGGCCACGGCCCCAGCTGCCCGGGCTGAGGGCCTGCCGGGCCGGGTGGGTCTGGCGCCCAGACGGGCCCCCAGGACACAATGAGGGCCATTCTCAGAGACAGGCAGGGCCTGTGGGGCAGCCCTGTTGGCTCCAGCGGACAACAACCAGGATGTTGTTCCCAGCAAGCTGCCTGGTGGGGCTGCTGCCTGGCCTGTGTTGGCATCAGGGCGGGGGCTCCCCTCTGCCCCTCTTGGTGGGACCCTCTGAGTGGGGCAGGCCCCCAGGAACATCCCCTTTCCCACTCAGGGCTCCACCTTAGCTCGTTCTGTGCCCTCACAGTGAACCCACTCAGCATTGGCTAAACGTGTGTCCTGTGCCAGGCTAGGGTTGTACTAAGGAGAACAGGGGGGCACCCCGGGTCAGGGTGGGATGTGAGCCGGGAAGCATCACGCTGTATGGTGAGACCTGCCAGGTGCAGGTGAGGGAGGAGAATCACCCAGGTGGTTGACACCTTCTCCAAGAGGTCACAGTGGCACCACTGGTCCAGCTTAGCACCTGGAGCCCAGCCACCTCTTCCAGGTGGTCCCAGTCATCTTCCATGTCCAGGTCCTGGGAGTTCTGGGGGAGCATGGGTACAGACTCACTCTGCTGTGAGACGCCTCTACCTGGCTGGTGTTGGTGACCTCTCCCTGTGTCAGTGGACCCTGCCTGCATCTCCAGGGCCCCTGTCCCCCTCCTGCAGCCTCCTCTTTCTCTTTCATGGCTGACCAGTTCTCAGACCTCATGAGTCACCTGTGAGGTCACCTCTGCGCACTGTGGCCCTGTCCCACTTGGTCTTTGCCCCACACCCCACTGTCTCTGTCACACTGTTTGGTGTCTGTCTTGCAGGGACCTGTCCATCTCAGTCTGTACCATTTCTGGGGACAGCAGGACCTGGGTGACTCTTGGTAGACGGAAGTCCAGGCCTGCTAGAGTCCGTGTCTCCTCTAAGAGGATCTGGGCTCCCAGAGCGTCTGGGGGACTTGGCCTGGGTCCCAGAGCCGTGGGACGGGGGCTGGTCCAGACCTGGCTCACTGCTGCCCAGTGACTAGGAGAGAGCAGGAAGGAGAATCGTGTCCTTGGAGAGCCGCCGGTGAGGCAGAGGCCCAGGGGGAGGCAGAGGCCCAGGGGGCGGCGCGTGGCCAGCTGGAGTGCTAGGCGGGGGACAGCAGCCAGAGGTGCCCAGGACTCAGGGTGGGGAGAGACTGCCTGCAGGCTCTGGGCGGGGCACACCAGCTGACGCAGTTAGAGGAGCTCCTGGTGCCAGGCCCCGGTGCCACGTGCTAAGCCGGCGAGGTGGTGTCCAGCCCAGCTCTGGCAACCCCACCTTGACAGTCACAGCCTCCCTGAGCAGCTGGCTCAGGAATGAGCTCATGTCACAGAGGCAGGTAGGGACCCGGACCTGGAGCCTCGCCTGGGTCCAGGTGGACCTCCCTCCTCCCCGGATCTGTCCTCCAGCCTCCGTGCCCTGGGCCCTGTGGCCTGCCAGCCTTCCCTGGATGGCCTCCTCAAGGCATGCCTGTGCCCTGCGATCCCCTCCGTCAGTGCCTCTGACCCCTCTGACTCGTCTGCAGGGGAATTTTCCTCTGACTCACCGTGCTGGCACTTCCTGTGGTCACCAGGGCAGGGCTGGGGGACCCAGCGGCTCTGGGGTCACTGGGGGAGGGTGGGCTGCTACCCCACCCCCTGATGGGATGTTCCCAGCGGCAGGCTGCAGACCATATTTGGGAACTTGGTATTTATTGCCAGCAGCCTCAGTTTGGGGGCTGGGACTTGGGGGACTGGGGCAGCCCCTGCCCAGCCGGGTTCTGGCCTCCCGGCTGCTACCTCTGCCCATCTTGGCTCAGGCCCCAGGAATCTGTACATGTTTTCTTCTTCAGGATCTGAGATGCCTTTTTCTGATTCAAAGTGAGAAATAGTCATTAAACACAAATTGAGGTATTCTGAATAACAGGAAGAGCGAGTAGTCCCTGTCGTCTTGCTGAGGGCCCTTCATTCCCGTCCTTGGTGGTGTGTGCACAGCCAGCTCTGTCCTTGTTGTTGGGGTGTCTGTGGTGTGGGGGCATTGGGAGGGGCTGGAGGCCCTGTGGAATCCAGGTCCCTAGTCTTCATGCCGCTTCCAGCACGTCCAGTGCTGCTGTTCTGTCCTGCCTCATTGTCCTCTGGATGGCAGTGAGATGCTGGCGGTGCCCTCTCCTGCCTGCTGCCCAGGAGGAGGTGTGACCCTTCCCACCTGGAATTCTAACTCCTGATGACTGCCAGGAGATGGATCCCAGAGGAGCAGCCCCAAGGGGTGGACACAGCCAGTGGGCAGCAGAGCCCAGATCCCATTTCCAAGCCAGGGGTCCCACACGGGGTGAAGAGGGTAGGAGCCCTGAAAGGGAAACCCCTCTGGAGCCTGCCCTGCTGTCCTGGGCACCAGTACCCCTGCCTTCCTCATTCCTGCCCTCTGCTGGAGGCTGGTGACGGGAGTGTGCTAGACTTCTGTGACCATCTGGGCCTGAGCCAGGCACCTGGCACGGGGGGGGGGGGGGGGTGTGTGTGTGTGCACGCACGTGCGCGGTGTGTGTGCCTGGAGCAGGGGCGAGCACTGGGCAGGAGGGAGACGCACACTGCTCCACTAGAGGGAACGTCTCCACTCTGCCCGCCTCGCCCTTTGCCAGCTGTTCCACTCTGAGGCCCTGGTCCAAGGAGTGTGTGCTGACAGAGCTGAGGTCCAGGCAGCAACCCCCCACCTTGGGAAAGATGTGAAAGTGATTTGAGTGTCAGCCTCAAGGGCCATTGTCAGCCTAGACGGGAACCCCTACCTGTTTATTTTTCCTGTTTATTCTTTGTGCCCTACCTTACCCATTTGGTACTCCAACCCTATTTGTCATGTGTTACGAAACTGTCCTAGAAGGAGAGTTTTTGGTAAATTTGCCTTCATGACACTCAGCGGGAGTCTGATCTGAGATTTGCATCCCGCTTTAGTTGAGAACAGCCCCTGTGGTAAGTGTCCCATCACCTTCACCTGCTCTGGGCCCTGGAGGACCTCGGGCTGGGAGGAGTAGGCACCTGGGTCAAATGTGTGGTCAGGCTTGTGGGTGCCCTGCCAGTACCACTCCGGTGCCACCACCCCACACAGCAGCACAGATGCTGGTGCTGACCTCATGTTCACGAGGCCTTGTGGCCAGTCCTCTTTCTTTTCTTTTTTTTTTTAATTTAATGAAAGTTTACAGAGACTTTGGATTTCCATTTTTTCATTGTTGCACTTTTCTCCCTGCCCATCCCTCCCCTCCAGTTCGTTCTTCTCTTTGAAAAGTAAAAGAAAAACTCTTTCATGGCTACATAATCCCTCCCCCCAAGTCCACTCCAGTGTGCAGCCTTCCTTCTGGACTCCAGTCAAGATAGTAATACTTAATCACATATCCCTTTTAAACAGTTCTCTCCCTCATCTGTTTCAATGCAGTATACATAATTTATCCCATCTTTCTCAGTCTCCTTCCCAACCCCGATGTCAGTCCTCTTTTACAGCATTGGCACTATGCAGTATTTGTCTTTTTGTAACTGAAATACTTCACTCAGCTTATTGTTCTCCAGGGTCACCCATTTTGTCTAATAATTCATGAGTTCCTTGTTTTTCAATGCAGCGTAGTATTCCATTGTGTGAATATACCAGAGCTTCTCTATCCACTCGTTTGTTGATGGGCACTTAGGTTGTTTCCAACTCTTTGCTATTGTGAACAAAGCTGCGATCGGCATGGGTGTGCATATATCTGCTTAGGTGTCAGTTATGGTCTCTTTCCCAGTAGTGGAATTGCTGGGTCAAATGGTATTTCTGTTTGCAACTTTTTGAGAAAGCGCCATACAGCCTTCCACAGTGGTTGCACCATTTTACACTCCCACCTACAGTGAGCAAGGGTTCCAGTTTCTCCTCAGCCTCACCAGCTGGTCTCCTTTCTGACCCATGGATGTGCCCCAGGATTCCGGATCATTGCTGTCTTGTCCTTTGTGACCTGCTGCTTGTCTGTCAGCTTCCCTGTCCCACGTCCAGGGGTGTCAGACCCGTCATCTCTGTTGCTGATGTTTTCGCATTTGGGCTTTGGGGTTTTATTTCATACTCTCTCCATGCCTCTAGTTAGCATTTTCCCTACAACTTTTCCCTTCATTGCTTCTACAGCTTTCCACACTCAAGCCTTGGGCTGCCCTCAGTTGATGATGGGGGTTGTCCTCTGCAGTTGTCCCAGCCCCGTGAAGAGGAGCCACTATTCTGTCCCGACACCAGCCTGTTTTGCTGGAGTGCCTTGTCCTCTGTGGCCCTCTGCTTTCATACACCATGCTTATTTGTCATCCCCAGCTCCTCCATTTCTTTCTAGAGGTACAACCTTACCAAAATCTTCAAACCCTGCTGGCGTTAAAGCAATTATAGCAAGTTGTGTAAGTAAATTAGGGTGAACTGTCTTTGGAGTTAAGTCATCCTCCATGAACATAGTACAATTCCTCACTGATCAAGCTTCCTCCCTGAACACTGCCGAGTTTCTTGCTGGCTGTGGGCCCTCGCGATGCCTTGGAGCCCTTGTCTCTGGGTGACTTCTCATCTGTCTGTGATATTTCTTGTCTATTCATCTTGTGTGTTGGGTTTTCTGTGTAAGCATTCATCTGGTCTGCAGACGACAGCCACTGTGACCTGTCCTGTCTGTCCTCTTGTTTTCATGCCCCATCTCTGTCTGTCATTTTCTTCTTCTGGCTAATCACACTGGTCAGGGCGGTGGAACTGTGGACTGTTAACAGGATCTGTCCTGATGTCTTTTCAACCTTAAAGGAAAGGTATTTGACACTTCTCTGTTCAAGTCTGAATTTTCGGAGGGTGGACTTGATCGAGTGAGGGAAGTGCCACTCCTCTCCCTCCTGCAGCACTTTTGCCAGGGGCTTTTCTTGCATCTCGGGCATTTGTCTGCTTCCCTGCCAGCGTGGTGTGCAGGCCTCACTACTGCTGCTCCTGATGCAGGTCTAGGCTGGGTGTGCCTGGGGAGACGTTTCTGAGATCACCTAGAGGGCCCTGCTGGAGGTGAGGACCAAGGTGCAGGGGCTGTGCCAAGACCACACATCTCTGTCCAGTGAGCAGCAGCGGGCAGAGCCCTCAAGTCCAAGTGCACATGCTCCTGTCTTCATGATGCCTTTGTCTTTTCTCCCCAGAATGTGCTGGCCAAAGCCCTCTATGACAATGTGGCCGAATCCCCAGACAAGCTGTCCTTCCGCAAGGGTGACATCATGACGGTGCTGGAGCGGGACACGCAGGGCCTAGATGGCGCTCCTGTCTTCATGATGCCTTTGTCTTTTCTCCCCAGAATGTGCTGGCCAAAGCCCTCTATGACAATGTGGCCGAATCCCCAGACGAGCTGTCCTTCCGCAAGGGTGACATCATGACGGTGCTGGAGCGGGACACGCAGGGCCTAGATGGCTGGTGGCTCTGCTCCCTGCATGGACGCCAGGGCATTGTGCCTGGAAACCGCCTCAAGATCCTGGTGGGCATGCATGACAAGAAGCCAGCGGGCCCTGGCCCCGGCCTGCCATCCTCCCCCGCCCAGCCTGGCCTCCATGCCTCCTCAGCGCCCCCAGCCTCACAGTATACCCCCATGCTCCCTGCCACGTACCAGCCCCCAGCTGACAACGTCTACCTGGTGCCCACTCCGGGCAAGGCCCAGCATGGCCTATACCAAGCCTCGGGGACAAGTTCACAGTTCCAGTCACCCCCGTCCAAGCAGACGTCCACATTTTCAAAGCAAACGCCCCATCACTCGTTCCCCAGCTCGACTCCAGACCTTTACCAAGTGCCCCCCGGGCCTGGCAGCCCAGCCCAGGACATTTACCAAGTACCTCCTTCAGCTGGAATGGGGCATGACATCTACCAGGTACCCCCGTCCATGGATACGCGTAACTGGGAGGGTGCAAAGCCACCTGCAAAGGTAAGGTCACATGACAGCAGTGTGATATGTTCTGGGTGGGCCAGTGAGACCAGGCCAGCAGACGAGGGCAGATCCTCAAGGCACCTGGGGGCCCAATACCAGGCAGATTGGTTCTAAGCTCTGGAGGGTTTTGTGTGGGAGTAATCTGCCCAAGTCTGAATCATAGTAAAAATGTTCTACCCGTAGAATGGAGAATGTGACGGCGGGTAGGGAGAGCCCAATACAAGGACAGGTTGGGCCACACTTGAAGGAGAGAAATCAAATATGGCAGGCAGCTTATCAGAAAACAAAGTTTGGAGATTAGCAGTCTAGTATTGACATAGCACCTGTGTCCTTTTAGTCCAGGATGGCTGCCTGAGCTCTAGCCATCACTTCTGCTATCTGGCCAGCAGGAAAAGGAAGATGTTTCCCGAAAGTTGCATATGATGCCTCTTGTAACTTGTTGGCCCTCTCAGCTGCGAGGGAATCTGAGAGATGGAGTTTTCTTCATTTTGGTGGTGTGAGTGAAAGTTTGCTAAACACTTTAGTTTTCCATTAGATGATTTACATGAGTGTTGTTTTATAACAGTGCCACATAACCACACTCAACCTGCTTCCTCCCTGGGTTCTCATTCCCACCGTCCATCCTTCCTGCCCCTTCCTGTCTTCTGAGGCTTGTTTTAGGGTAAATGCTGTACTTTTGACCCTACTTAGTTGATTGTTCTAAAGACTTTCTCAGGAGTGTAAATACATGTTACAGGCCTGTCTGGCTGCAAGGTGATTGCCAAGAGTGGGTTCACTTCAAGGTTTGGGGGGTATCTTGGGCCATCCTCTCAAGGGTTCTAGAAATAATCCTGTTCCCAGTAGCCATAGAATCCTAGTGGGCCCTCATTAATTGCTCTCTCCAGTGGTCATGCAGGCTTGGGGCCTTTGAAGGAGTGTGTGCCCCAAGAGCTAGGGGTTCCCCATCAGTGCTCCGGGTTTTCACATCAGCCCCTTGAGTGGGATTAAGCACATCTTCACAGCCCCAGCTCCACAGGCTCCCAGTCCTTATTTACTTCAGGACTCAGGTGGGCTGGCGAGGACCTGCAGAATGGTCCAGGTAACTTCTGGGCCATAGAGTGCATGCCCCTGTGGAACTGTCAAGAAGGGCTGCCTTTAAAGACTGGGCTGTTGTCGACCAGATGCCAGGTCTGGGATGAGCTCCGGGCTCTGAGTCCAGCAGTGTCTGTGCCCCATGGCCCCCAGCCCCAAGTCCCTCTTGCTCTAGGAGGTGAGGACTAGGCCTGCCCCCTGGCTCCTCTGGGATGAGTGAGGGCATCCTTTGCTCACCTTGGCCCATCTTCCCTTGTCCATGTCCCTTTGAGATGAGACTAGGGAGCAGAGTTTCTGGAGGGCCAGGGTAGAGGAGGTGTCCCATGGACTCTGAGGGCAAAGTGTTGCACCAGCTCTCCCTGCCCCCTCCAAGCCTGCCCTCCCCTTACAGCTGCTCCCAAGAAGTCCCCATGCTCAACTCATTGACACTCCAGGCCCCTCACTTGTCAAGGGCCTGGGTAGCATGGCAGCCAGCTCCTGGGAGAAGCTGTTCAGGCTTGGTTGGGACCCACTACCAGGGCCCTAGGCCATATCCAGTCTGGACTCATCGTTGTCTGGGAACACAGCAGAGTGGCCAACAGGACAGTGGACACTGAACCCCTGTCCTCTTGGATCTCTCCAAGGCCAGAGGTGGAAGCCTCACTTGTGCCAACCAGTGCCACCCACTCCTGCCCACAGCCTGACATTCTTGGAGCACCCAGGAGACCTGGCCAGTGGTCACTATGGGCTCAGGACAGGACCATGTGGACTCTGATCCCCAAGCCTGATGGCCTGTGGGACTGCAGGCTCCCACATCCTGCCCTGAGTTCTTCAGCCACCAGGCCAGAGAGGGACACGGCTGGGCAGTCCAAAGAAGGAAGGAACAAGCCCTGGCCAGGGGCAGAGGGGTGCGGCGCCTGGCCAGGAGCCTTGGGCAGACCTCACCTCTCTTCACACACACCCCTCCCTTCTTTGCACACCTCCTCGTAGCAGACCCTGCAGACTTCCACATAGTGGATGGTGAGAGCCAGCCTCTGGATCAGAGGGCAGCAGCGATGCCCCCACTGCACCACTGCAGCCTGGAGCCTGTGTTTTGACAGCTGTTTCTGCCACCTTACTGCAGGAGGGGGCTTCACCTGGGGACACCCCTGGCTGAGCTCGGACCCCAGGGGGAGCTGCCAAGGGCCCGAGTCCCTAAAGGCCCAGGCTGGTGGGAAAGCCGGCCCAGGACGGACAGTGGATCTGGGTCTGGGGCCTGATTGTCCCGTCCTGAGACAACCCTGGCCCAGGCCAGCCTTGATCAAGATAAATTTAAGATTCTAACAGTGATGCTCATTACAGCACGTGTAGTTTCTGAGGAGGCCCAGAGAGGAGAGTCCCTGATTGAGAGAGTCACTGCGAAGAGCTGGCGTATTTTGTCTGGCATCTTCTCTGTTTCTCTAGCTCATGTACTTTTGCATCTTGCTGCTGTAAACCCGACAGGATTCCCCCAGCCTGACAGCGACGCCTCTGTCCCTGGTTTTGCTGTGTGGCCCGCCCCCTGGTGGTGGCACGCATGGTTCCCGGTGGCCCGTGTCTTTGTTAGGAGCCCGTGATGGTAAACTTGTTGTTGTTGTTGTATACTTTTGAGTTGGAACCGACCCATAGCTAACCCCCCAGTGGGTTTTTTGAGGCAATCAGTTACACAGGAGGAGAGTGTCCATCCTCCCACCGGCCAGCTGGTGGATTCAAACCCTCTGCCTGCGGGTCGCGGCTTAGCTTCTTGCCACTAGACCACCAGTGGTGGCCCCTATCTCTGCCCACCCTTCAGAACCTGGGAAACTGAGGGACTCAGGTCCAGGACTGCATGTAGTGGGAGGGACTTGGGAAGCTGAGAGGACGAGTGACGTGACCAGATGGCCAGGAGGAGTCAAAGCCGAGAGCCCAGGAGTGGATGGGGCTGAGAGACTTCTTGAGTAGGAGTGGAGACCTTTAGTGGGACCTTTGGGTGAAACTCCCAGCAAAGGAGATGTCTGCTTGAGGTCACTCTCAGGGGACCTGTGGGTCAAGGGTCTCTGCCATGCCAGGGGAGAGGGGAGATCATGCAATTTGTTCCTGGCTCAGGCCCTCCTGAGTTTCCCTGTTGGCCCCAGAGAACATGTCTCCCCTCAGCCCTCTCTGCCAGGCTCTGCCCTCAGCCAGAAGCTGTCCAGGTGAAAATAGGGGCAGGAACTCAAGCTCCTGGCCTTGACCTCGACTGTGACTGCACATTAGATTAGATGTTCACAGTGCTCCAGGCGTCCACAGCTGGAACCTCCGTTTCCTGGTGCTTCCAGGGTGGGGTGGACGTGCTGCAGCAGGTCAGACAGATCCAGCTTCAGAGCAGGCCAGGCCATGTGGGGAGGGAAGGAAGGCACCAGGGGCCCCAAGACACCAGGCAGCCATGGCCAGTGGAGCCAAGAAGCCCGTTCTGTCACCCCAGTGTCCCCACCTCTCCGGATGCTATCCTGCCCCGTGATGACCCTGGAGCCTTTATGTGGCTCCTCCCTCCCTCAGGGCTGTGGCATTGTCCTTGGAGAGCTGGCTGTGGGAGGCTCTGCTGTGCGTGCATTGCACACATGTACATGCACGTGCCTGGTGGTCTCGTGCCTGGTATAGCGTGTGAGGGCTAGGGTTTCTGTCTCCTACCCTCAGGTGCAGGATCTATGGGATTCTCACCCTGGCAGCCCTCCTCCCCGGGGACTGGTTTAACAGACATTTGGTGCTTGCTGTCACTTGTCTTAGTCGTCCCCGTCCCTGCCCTCTCCTGGCCCCAGCTAGCCACTCACAGTTCTGGTGGTGGCTCAGGCACCCCTTTCCCCAGGCTGGTCTTGACTGACCAGCACTGGAATCAGGGGTGCTGCCCCACCCTTGAGGCTGGGTCCCCACCTGCTGCAGGATGACCAGCGAGAGCTGGAAACGAGGCCTCAGACCTCCAGGCCCCACCAACCTGCCACGTCCCACCAGCTCCCGCCTGCCTGCCTGCTGTTGGCAGGTTCTCGGGTCTAAAAATAGCTCTGGAGGAGACTCTAGTCTGGGGCGCTGGGGGGGCGGGGGATGAGTCTGGAGAGCCGGCCAGCTTGCCTGCAGACAGTGGGGGTGGGGTAGGGGGAGCCCCTGCCTGGCCTCCCTGCAAGCCCATGGGCCCAGGTCACCCCAGTCCTGTGTGGCGTGGCTGGGCACTGTTGGCAGCAGCCTCTGCCTAGCCTCGGGAGTGTCCTGTTGGGCTCTCCGCTGCTGCTCCTGGGGTGCCCATGGGCACTGGCAGTGACAGTGGCTGCAGGGTGTGTGTGGGGAGGCCCACAGCAACTTTGCCCAGACATCCCGTCCCCTTTGATTAGGGAACAAAAGGCCTTTCTCTCAGAGGAGAGCTGAGCAGGGAACGCGTGGGGGAGGCGTGCCCGAGCTCGAGAGAATCCTCGGAGCTCCCTCTCCGTGCTGGCCAGGTGACTGTGGAGATGTCCTCAGAGGAGAGGGCCACTGAGAGGCAGCATGGTCCTGGGTGCAGCTTTCTGAACTTCTGGGGGCTGTAAGCACCCCGAGTTGGTACCCCAGCCATGTTGGCACAGTGCCGGGGCTTCATTGCTGAAGCCCAAAACCAGGGAGCCCAGGCCCAGGTAAGAGTGCCGGGGAGAGGGTGCTGGCCTTCAGACCCAGGCCTAGAGGTCCTTGGGGCCTGTCCTGTCCAGTTGGATGTGGGGTGAGGTACATTCTGCTTAGCCAGTTGACTCTTGGTTGGAGTTTCAGAGCCTGCCCATCGAGGTGGTCCTCTGGCTACTCTCAGGGATGGAGTGGGCTTACCAGGGTCTGTGCCTGCTCAGAGGGGCTGCAGGGCCTATGGTCAAACTCTCCTAATGGGGAGCTTCTGGAGTCAGGACCTTGGTCTCCAACCCGCCTGGTCCTCCTGCCCTGCTAGTCCCCCTCTTCAGGCCACATCCCATCCCCATGTGGGTGTGTCCTCCCCCCATTTCGAGTGCCCTTCTCGTGTAAGAGGGATGTTCTCCATGGGTGAGAGGGGTAGTGGTAACGGTCCTGTGTGCACCCCAGGTGATGGTGCCCACCCGCGTGGGCCAGGGCTACGTGTACGAGGCCTCCCAGTCGGAGCAGGACGAGTATGATATCCCGCGCCACCTGCTGGCCCCCGGCCCCCAGGACATCTATGACGTGCCCCCAGTGCGAGGCCTGCTTCCCAGCCAGTATAGCCAGGAGGTGAGTGGTCGAGCGGAGGGGCATGGGTCATCCCTGGTCAGGGCTGGTGGACAGCTTCAACAGCTTGGGGCACAGGGCTGGGTGTTGAGGGGTGGCACCCTTCTCATCCCACTCCCATAGCCCTGCCTCACTGCACTTTCTCTGCCTTCAGGTATATGACACGCCCCCCATGGCCGTCAAGGGTCCCAACGGCCGAGACCCATCGCTGGATGTGTATGATGTGCCCCCCAGTGTGGAGAAGGGCTTGCTGCCACCCACCCACCACATGGTGAGCAGCTGCCTACTGGGCGGTCCTCCTCCCCGGAGACCTGAGCCCTGGGTAGGGAGGTGTCTCTAGGTGTGACTGAGTCTGCAGAGCCCGACTCCACAGCCAGCTCTGCCCTCTCCCCGCTCTACGGCATGTGGGAGCACTCCTGAACCTTTGTCTCTCTAGCTTTTGTTGAGTCACGCGGGCTGTATCCAGAAGGTGATCACAGTTTTACCCTGCAAACAAGTCACTTGGGAGTGAAGGGGACATGACTGATAATTGTGTGGGAGCAGCGACACAAACGAGGGCTGTCCTGGGCGAACTCAGGCAGGGTGACCCGGGCTGTAATGTAGCACACACAGAGCTCAGACCCAGAGTTGAAATGCCACAAGTGACAGGATTGTGGAGATGGTGGTTGTGATGTTGCTGTGTGCTGTCACTCAGACCTTCCAGCGGGTTTTCAGAGGCAGCAAATTGCATGGGAGGGATTGCCCATCTTTCTCCCACGGAGTAGCTAATAGATTTGAAGTGCTTGCCTTAGGATTGTAGCACAGCTGCTTATCTCTAGGCCACCAGAGCTCCCGAATGCGGCTGTTGGGTATAGTGAAGATGACAGAGGTGGTGATGGTGGAGATGGTGGTGAGAGGTAATGATGAGGATGCTGACGGTGATGATGGTGGCAAGACAGTGACGGTGGTACTAATGGCAATGTCAATGATGGTAGTGGTGGTGATCATGGTGCTGAAGGTAGTCGTGGTTTTGGTGATGACAGTGACGGTGGTGATGATAGTGACAGTGGTGACGACGGTGATGGTGGTGCTGATTATAGAGAGGGATTACGGTCATGGCATGATGGTGGAGGAGATGACAGCAATGGTGGCGGTGATGGTGACAGTGGAGGAGATGACTGACGGTGGAGGAGATGACCGTGATGGTGGTGGTGGGTGGTGGTGGTGGTGAGTGGTGGTGGTGACCATGGTGGTGGTGACCGTGATGGTGGTGGTGGTGACCATGGTGACGGTGGTGGTGACTGTCATGGTGAGTGGTGATGGTGGACTGTGATGATGATGGTGGTGGTGGTGACGATGATGGTGACCATGATGATGGTGGTGGTGGTGGTGGTGGTGGTGATGATGAGTTGTGACTGTGGTGGTGGTGGTGATGAGTGGTGACTGTGGTGGTGGTGGTGATGAGTGGTGACTGTGGTGGTGGTGTGGTGGTGATGAGTGGTGATGAGTGGTGACTGTGGTGGTGGTGGTGATGAGTGGTGACTGTGGTGGTGGTG